ACTATAATTTGCCTTTTCCTGAAGGTATGGAAGCACAACACCAATCTGTAATAGGAAGCTAAATTAACGAGTGAGTTCTGGGATTCTTAAAGTGCGATGCACCACCTCGTAGCTACTGTATCACTTTCGTAGGCTTTAGGGGTGCGCGTCATATGGCGCGATTCCGTTGGTATTGGAGCGCCACATGACGCGTACAACTCGTCCAGGCACCATTCCATTCCACTTCTCTTGCCTTGGCATTAGGCCATTGAAGCTATTCGTTCTTTTTAGCGTTTGAGGCTCAACGAGATTTTTGAGACCCAATTATCAGATCGATCAATTACTGAAGTCTAGTAGTTGAGTGATGCGGACGAGTTGTCCGGCCACAGCAGGATGGGCAATTGCGGCCTGTGCGCTCTAATGCCAATGTGATCGCGCCATATGACCGTCTCCCCGCTTTAGCGATCCTCGTTGAAAGCATAAGGCATAAGAGTTCGGCTTCAATCAATCCCTTCAGGATGCGCCACGTGTTCTGCTTCCATTTGGAGCTGTAGTAGTATTTGAATACAGTTAGGCTCATACAATGCTGGCAGGACCAGTCGTTGTGCAAGACAGTGTTCGAGCCCTCCCTAGACGGGTCTGATACCACGACTCAAAAGATGGAAAGCGCGATTGAACTAGGCAAAATGTGAACCGGGACTTACCAAGTAGGCTGTGCTCGTACTGAGTTGCGCCACGTGCCACTACACCATCTCAGCACTTCTAACAACTTTGTTTGTTTGTTCTATTTATAAAATTTTACTGCATTTACGAGGAATCTCAGGAAGCAGTTGCCCAAGACATACCTGACCGCATAGTTTCAGTGATTTTGTTAAGAGATGTGACTGTGCAACTACTGGACCAATGACGCGTGCGGTTGAGAAGCGGCTAGGTCTCTTCAAGTATGTTTTTACATGCCTACTTGTCGGACGAAAGACTGGTGATTGACGATTTTCGATGCGATAACAAAAACCTCTACTCCAACCTGATCAAATTGTCGCATCGCAACCGCACGCGTCGGAAGTCCACATTGCACAGTAGTCTGATAATGGACTGGACTTCACAGTTATAACATAATGAAGCATTCCCATGCGGGAAAATTACTGATGCTCTCCGAAATCCTCTGCAAAAAGCATAGCTCATCCCAGAGGGGCTGCTTAATGGGAATACTTTTTTTGGTGTGGCTTCCCAAAGTACATACGAAGAAATTCCATTATGGCATAGCGTGCAGACCCACAAGAAAAAAAACCTCTCTTTCATTAGCTCTTCCTCGGAAAACCTCTAATCATCTCAGAGAGAGAGGAGTTCTTTATTGAAGAGTGCGGCCGTCGCCGGCAGAGGACGCATGAGACCGAAAGAAACACTGATGAGCGGAGAATGTCATTGTTCGTTCCTGGCCCTCGTTGTCGCGTCTTTGGCGCTGCCAGCGCAGGCGGCTGCCATCCTCCCGCCCCCTCAGTCTTCTCCTCGTTCTACACCGGATATCTAATGCATATCGAAAGAGCTCGTGCGAAGGGCGCTGTTGCAACAAAGTGCACACCAGTAACCCCGGCCACTTTCCACCATTGGACAGAAAAAAAATTCATGCGTGTGAGAGTTTCGCGGACGAACGAAATTAATGGCAAAGGCATTTTCTAGGGATTCCTCGACCCTCATTACAAAAGTACTTCGCAAGTTAACTTGTGGGCAGACTGGAAGTATGGGTTCTAAGAGACGAAGAGTGTAGCACGTCCCGGAGCGCGTCTTCAATTCCTGTATCTGTCTTCCGGAAATCGGAATTCGGAATGCGGAAGCGAAAGTAACATTTCCAAATCATGACAACGCTTCTTATAGAGGGGCTGTAGCGTATCCAGTCCAGAAGAAGAATTCAAAACTAGGAAATGGAAAAAAATTGAGGGATGCATTTCCGCGGGTGCGCCATGCACTTGCCCTCTGATCGTTCTTCTCGGGGCGATTGAAGCGAGATGAGAACATGCATCACAAGCTAGCATTTGAAAAGCGACCAGAACTGGGGCTTTTCTCTTTTTTGGACTTTTCTTTTGTTTTTGGGATGTGGGCTTCGTTTTGTAAAACGTTAGGGACAGTGTGATACAATAGTGAATCACAATCGCTTTGCTTGAACTGCTCGTTATTTTCCACTTATCGAAACTGTCCATGGTAATTATCGTGCCCGAAAACCGGCACCCAATAGCAGTATGAAGTTACCTGAGTAGTAATGATTGCTGATGAGAAATAAATACAAAGGTACGGAGCACATCAATGGCGGTCGTCAATGTGTTATGATCATTTCTTTCGAGGGTACTGGACCCTGAAAATAGGAGATAGAGGTACCGCAAGCGAAGGCGTAACAAGCCAACCCCCTGGGTAATGCCTATATCCTCCCTCCCGGAGGTAGCCTAAGTCGCAGAATCGATCAAGCCTTTGGGTGTCGTCCACTGCCTTAAGTGTCCAACTTGGAAAGTTCCCATTAGTAAAAACTATAGCAATGGCCATTGGATTATTTTCAAGACTTCAAGCGGAATTTCATTTGTGACGAGATGAAATTCAATTGCGATGTGAGTGCTTGGATGGCCGTTAAGAGCGACGAATTGTTCGACAACGAGGAAAACTATCTCGGAACTGGAACACAATGGAATTAGGGCTATGCCGTGGCCTCTCCGGGCTGGCTATACAGTTTTTGCCAGGACGTTAGACTGAGCGCTGGAACTTTAGAATCTCCCTTTTCAGAGCGATGCCATTTTTGGACAGAAAGTTTCGATCCTAAATGGGGCCTTCAAACCTGTACCTGTGTTTGCTAGCGTGGGAAGTCTTACTAACTGCGATGCGATGAAGAGGCCCCAAATACCAAATATTACTACCATTCAAAGTAGGAATGGGAGATCGTATAACTTCGTATAATGTATGGATAGAGAGAGCAAAAGTTCGGTCTCGGCACGGATTCGAACCACAACTACTATGTCTTCGTTAGACCGTCACTACACCACTATACCCCCGATCAATTTTCTGTTCTTTCGTTGCAGCTGTTTTTGGAGTGATTTTTTTCCAAGTTTCGAATTTTTGTTCAGAAAGACGAACGCCTCGAGGGTGGAAAAATGATACATCCGGTCCCTTCTTAGCGCTCGGATGTACCCGGAATTTCAATCGCTTTTCATGTTCTAATTTTTCCAGCCGGGCAATCAATACATTCTTGAGGTTCCATGCCATCCGTAGTCGATGCCATTAGGCTCCGAAGGAACTGGCTACAAATCTTCTCTTAGAATGTACTGCCTCCATGGCACGCAATCCATTCGCCCCTCCCATAAAAATCCCTACAAATCGATTCGAATTCAATTTTCACCGGGTACGCTACAAAAAAATTGGCCAGAGACTTTTGAGGGTGCGCCTCATGATGGCCTAGCCTACCTAATCCCATAGGATTAACTTTTAATGTTGCAGTATCCATTATAAACAATGTCAAGGTGAATGACCTGTGAAGTACCGTAATTGGCATGCTAATCTGTCGATAATCGATTTTTCGCCTCTCATTGACCCAACTCCGCGGATCGCGCAGGAGGCGCCCACAATCCTTTAGGTAGTCTGATCCCCATGACGTGGACGAGGCGCGAACATGGCGTAGACTGGCGTTGCTTCAGCACGATCAACGGGATTGAATCTTAGCCCGAGATGAAGTCAACTACTTGTCCATGATCCATTTAAAGCCACGAGTCAGGCTCAGTGGACCAAACCAATCACTTTAGTCGTCTATGTGCATGGCTACGCACCCACAGGGACGTTGCCATGCTCAGAATCTCAAAAGGCGCCGTAATAACGCCCCAGGGCATGCATTAAGCGCTCGCGCCGCCTGGAGGCGCTCCGGCCGCCCACCATGGGATGTGGTGCGTGGCTGGCCTAACGTGTGAGATCAGCTGAGTTGATTGCCGTATCAACCGATGGAACGGCTGGCATATCCAGAAAACTCGTTTGGACGTGACTCTCCCCCGAGCAAATCTCCTTCACTGCTAGAAGGAATGGGTTTCTATTTAGGTGTTGTCGACAGTTTTTTCGTTTTTTTCTTCACTATCGTTCCACCTCCCATCTCTAAACTCAATATCAGGTGCCATAATGCCGAAACACGAGCCTGACTTTTGCCTTTAAGATTGCTAAACGATCGCATATCACAAGATACGGGAACATCTTCGTGGGAGGAGCCTTGAATAAAAGGCGATAAATATACGGAAAATGGAAAATGAGACCACCGGCGTCTGCCCTTCCCCTCACCTTCGTGCTAGCCTTAGTCCTGATGGCAGCGAAAAGAAAAGGTTTGTGACACAAGTATGCTGGGTTGTGAGCAAAACTTTCGCCCAGGCAGGATAAACCCGCACCTCTCGGTTTCGGGCCACTTGCGTATCCACCTCAGCACAAACTCCACCCGCAAAGCCGCCTTCCCTCAAATTTTGATTTTACAATGTGTGCCGCGCAAGTTACAGCACTCGTTACTTACCATTGGGAGCGTAGATACGCCTGGGCTCGGCTGCTTTCTGAATCATGGCGTTGTGGATCACTGCGCAATCAACTACACCAAAAAGCACGAATAAATGTCGAGTGCGTGGCACACGCCGAGTGGTGATAAGACTTGGACTGCGTGCCGTTGGTCCTTTCTATTAATTCACTACTTGCTCTGTCTTAGTCGATGTCTCCATGGCTAATTCCATTATGTCCGTACGACTTTGCCCTTTTATGCATAAAAGTGCATTGGTATGCTGTGTGTCTTGATAGCTCCTATTTGGTTGCCGACAAACGGAATTAATTGACCCAGGCCTCGTGGACCGCCGGTGACGCCATGTTAAGGGCTCACAGCTGAACACTTGCAAACGGCTGAGTTTTCCAAGATGCGCCATGAATCCTGCGTCCCCTGAAATTTGCTAGGGCTGTGAATGAATTTTTTCTAACATAATTCAATGAGCTGAGAGAGGAGGTGGTGTGGGGTAAAAGGCGTCAATTCTCACGCGCACGGTCCGAAGGTCGAATTTCGCTCAAGCCAACGAAGCTTTCCATCCCTCCGGGGTCGGTTAATTGGTACCAGACTTGTCTGGGAGGATAAAAACACTGACTTGTACATCGGCTGGCCCCCGCAAGTCATTGTATAGGCCACATCGCATTCAAACGCCACTACGAATGTACAAATGGAAGTAGAATGCGTGCCGCATCCCAAAAAGGATTGATCGCGCCAAATGCTTTTTCCATTCTTTATCCTTGTATTTCATTCTGCAGAGGTATATCTTCAAAGATATCGACCCTCGTAGATAAGGCCTATGTATCGACCGCTGGTACCACTGTTGCATCTGGCCCTAGAGCTCGTTAGAGGCATGTTTTTCAATGTTTTCTCTGTCATTGTTTCACTCAAACGCTGAAACTTCGAAGGGCTGATGAACAGTATAGAAATGTTACAACATAAAGTTGGAATAAATATTCTATAAATATTTAATCATTCAATAAACTAAGATTATCTGTCATTTATTATTTTTCATAGCTCTCCCTTATTTCGTTATTTAGTCTTCAATGCTCACCTCTGCAGGGTACAATGGCCCCTGGTTACCTTGCTAATTCAACAGCAATCCGAACCTTCCAATCACTTACACGACTTCAAAGAAAGTGAAGTGCATGGCGCAGTTCGAATTGTAGAATGAATAATGCCAGCAACTTTTTTCCGACTCCCGTAGGTAACCTCAACTTCATGTCCATTGGGTTTAGCCACTCCAACCCAGTCGACACTTGTTGGTTCCATCTCTTCCACCTTCTACTCCAGATTCCTCCTTTCTCAACACTGCTTTGTACCCTTTGCCCAAAAATTTTTCCGATGGGACTCCTGAATGGCTCATAGTGAGTCATGCGTTCGTACACCCACTTTGTTCGCTTTCCGGTTGAATCAGCTGAACTAAAGGGATTAGTTCACTATTGCTACGCATGCAACGTCTGTACGCAATTGAGCGTGAAATCGTTGAATAGCTGGAGACCGGCCATCAAAATGACTTCTCCCCGGATGACGACCGACTGGCTCCCCGCCCTGCTGGAGAAATATGACCGAAAACACGACCCAATAAGTGAAATTGAACCAATTTCGTCCCGTTGCGGGCATCATGCACAACGAACGCCGGAGCGTGTGAGAATTTGTTTCCTATTCGTAAGACCAGAGATTAGTCGGACGGCGGCTATGGGGCTGGTCAACGGCGGGCAGTGGAAGAAAGGGCAGAATCCTTGGGTAGGGCCTTATTTTGACAGCCTTGGTGACTTCTGGAAAGGTGCATTCGCAGCTAACCTAAGTAGGGTGCAACTGATTGGCCTTCTCAGCGCCAATATTGGAGGTCAATTTGGCGCGATGGGTGCTCAACCACGACAAACTGACTGGTTGAACGGGCTTCCGGGCTTCAGTGCTACTCAAGTACTGGATAATATGTGGTAAAACAAGAGTCAAGGTGTAATAAAACTAATATTCCTTCTAAGTTATAGAAGATTAAATTGTTATTTATTGTTAAACTATATTGT